TTGCTTTGACATTGATAATAAGAAATTGATGAAATGGCCCCAGGAGAAGAGATGCTAGTGGCATCTGTGAAGCTTCCTATGTATCCTGTTCCTCTGCTTTCCTTAGTCCACAGGGGTTCCCCTCCCCTCTAGGTTTGGGAATGGGAAGATTAGGTTCCCCTCCCCTCTAGGTTTGGGAATGGGAAGATTAGAGTGTAGCTCTGGTCTACCCTGCTTTGCCGTCTTTACAATTAGCTGTTGTGCTAGGGGTGTCCATCGATAGTAAAATTCTTGCTTAGCATACTCAAGGTACTGTATTCAATCCCAAACACAGAAACAAAATATACCAAGATATAATTCACATACCATACAAATATTCACAAGCCTGTGCAGTTATCTTCATCCTCTGATTCTAGAACATTTTCATACTGTCTGGGAAAAAAACTCATAATTGCCATTCCTCCCCATCTACCCAATGAAACTACTAATCTGCCTTCAGTCACTGAATCTTCCTATTCTGGCCATTTTGTATAAGTGAAATCACACAGTATGTGATCTTTGGCGACTTTGTTCTTTGCTTTCACATGTTTTCAAGGTTCATCCATGTTGTAGATATGTCCGTTCACTTTTTTACTTTCCAATAATATTCCATTGTCCATTCATCAGCTGTTAGGAATATTGCTACAGTGAACATTTGTGTGCTGTCTTGCCATTCATTAGAAGGAATCCAGTCTGGTAAGATGACAGCTAAGAAACCTTGGTATTCATGTTCTGTGAAGTGTAGAAAAGATCTGAAAACTCTTCTACCTAGTGGTCTAACTAGAAAATTAACACTAATATATTAATTTTCAATGTATAAATGAATTTAATTCAATCATTGCCCCTAACATACATTATAGTTGGAGAAAAGAAAGAAAAGATTTTTTTTTCATGAATGTTCGTTCCACCTGCTCCCTGAATCCCTGCACAGGTGTGCATGCACATGCAGGTGCACAATACATGTGTTCTCTGCCTCTCTCTCTTCCTGTTGGTCCAGCTGTCCTGCTTTCTGTTTCAGAACTAAAGTTGATGAGCAAGACCAACGACCAAATAGAGGAAGCCAAGCCCAGAGGCAGGGCTGAGGCCAGATCACAGCCACTGCTGCTGGACTGGAAATACTGGAAGCCATCCTTGGGCCATTTGGAGATGTTAATGAGGCTGACGAATTCCCACTGGTCTTAGGTTGCCTGTGTTGAGTTGTGTGTGCGAGCTTACCCCATCCACTGCCTGCACCTGTTCCTTTCCTCAGAGCTATTCCAAGAGGTCTGAATAACCCAGACAGTTCTCTGAGCTCTTTCTCTCTCTCTGTCCTCTTTCCTGCTGGTAGCATAGTTAGCACTTGCCTAAAGCTGGAACCTTAGTTCACTGTTTCTCTCCCTCATTGATGCCAGCTCTCAAAATCATTCTCTTTCCTAATTATCTTGAACCAGTTAATCATTTTCCACACCGACTGTTCAGTAACAAGAATCCAGGGAGAGGCAGCCACTCTTCTTGTCTGACCCTGCCCAGCTCTGTCCCAGGTGGCAGTCTGCATGCAAGCTTTCCTCAGAGATAAGAAGCTTGCTTCACACCTTTCCCTTTTGCTATCCAGTAACTACAGCTGGGGCAAATGTGCTGTAAAAAGAAGTTGTCTGCAAGCCACTCTGCTAGAAAGAGTAGCAGAGAACACAACAAATCTCCTACAGGGTTTATTATTTCCTGTGTTTTCTGAAATTCATGTTTGCATCCAGAGTACCAGAGAAGGCACACAAGTCCAAAGAAGTAAGACATTTCTCTTTATAAGTGACATATGAAGGGCCAGGTACTCATACCTATAATTATAACTATTCAGGAAGCTGGGATAGGAGGATTGCAGTTCAAAGCCAGACCAGTCAGTAAAGTCTGTGAGACTCGTAAATCCAATTAGTTACCAGAAATCTGGAAATGGAGCTATGGCCCAAGTGATAGAGTAATGGCTTTGAGTGGAAAAAGCTAAGAAATAGCATCCAGGCCTTGAGTTCAAGACCTAGTACTAGCATCAGAAAAAAAATGACTTCTAGAGCCAATGATTGACACAACTGTTTCACTCAACTGCCCTTCCTTATGAAAGGATCCAACTCCTAGATTCCAGTGCCACTACAATACAATAGCTTCTCATTCAAGACACTTATTAACTTTATAATTCAATGTCTCCCAACTTTTTTTTCATTACTACTTACCATGAGACTCGTGTGTGTGTGTGTGTGTGTGTGTGTGCGCGCGCGCGCGCATATGTGTCCTGGGTCTTGAACTCAGGGCCTAGTCACTGTTCTGGAGTTTTTATGCGCAAAGCTAGTGTTCTACCACTCCACCATAGCTCCATTTCCAGCTTTCTTTTTTTCTTTTTCTTTCTTTCTTTTTTTTTGTGTGTGGTTAACTAGAGACATTAGTCTCTCAGACTTTCCTGACCAAGCTGACTTTGAATCACAGTCCTCAGCTCTCAGCCTCTTGAGTAGCTAGGATTACAAGCATGAACCACCTGCACCTGACTTCCAGGGAGACTTTTAAGATATTAATATTTCCTAATGTATTCCCTGTCCCACAAAAGTACTAGGTATCTATTTATTTACAGTACTTATACCTGTCCTTTATTCAGTTTTGTTGTTGTATTTTTTTGTTTGTTTGCTGGTCCTGGGCTTGAACTCAGGGTCTGGGCTCTGTCCTTGAGCTTCTCTGTGCTCAAAGGTAGTGTTCTACCACTTGAGTCACAGTGCCACTTTTGGCTTTTTCTGAGTTTATTGCAGATAGTCTCATGAACTTCCCTGCCTGGGCTGGCTTTGAACCATGATACTCATATCTCAGCCATCTGAGTAACTAGGATTATAGGCATTAGACACTGGCATGCAAATGCCTGTCCTTTATTTGTATAAAGAAGTTTATTGTTAGTTTGTTGTTGTTGTTGCTCACAAGGGACAATATTGGGCAATATTAGACTGCATACTAATACTCTGCCACCATTTTCCAAAGCCTCTAAAGGCAGAGGTTTTCTCTGGCTGTGTCTGCTGCAACAAGCCACAGCCTAGGACAGTTTCTGGCACATATCAGGGCCCAGCTGATGGGAAGTAAAACCATGCTTTGTGATTCTGCCCTATCACCCCCTCTTCCTTGGGCATCGTATACCTTCCAATCTCTTCTCATCCTCATCTCTAAGCCCTGTGCTGTCTTCTGGTGTCTTCTATCAGTGCAAAGGGTAGTTGATGCCTTGTGGTGATCCCCAGGGATGTACCAGGAAACTGACAGCATATACTCCTGCCCTAAGCCACTGGGATCCCACCCTCTGGGATCATTGCCTGCATGTCAAGGGTAGGTGACATTTGAGCCTTGTGGAATAATCAAGGCAGCCTCCAACTGCCTCTCTCTTTGCATCTCCTTAACTCAACCATGGATTGGCAGTTACTGAGACATTCTTTGTGGTCCGGCACACCACACCAGGCTGCATCTGGGGACTCTCAGGAGAGGAGCAACCCAGTCCTCATCAGCAATTACAAACAAGTCCTCCATTGTTAGTGCACCATCTGCTTTCTTGGTTTCTACCAATCAGGAGCCTATATGCACAGCAGAACCAGGGCTGAGGGGGCTGCAGGGGAGTGAGATCAAGGAGCCCCTTCATAAAGACAGCCTTTACTCACATGGGAGTGCTTTAGTGGCATGGTTCTCTGAAAGCAGAGCCTTCTCAACTAGAAGATCCACACAGAAGCACTCTGTGGATCTTCCATGAGAGGAACTGGGGTCCTACAGTACAATGCAATGGGGGAAAATAAGAAGTCTCAAAAACCCATAAGGTCTGTTACCAACATTCAACACCAGCCCTGAACTCTTGCCTGCACATAAGCTGTGGCTGAAATCAAACCAGTAAGACAGGAAATACCACTAGATCATCTAGGATCAGTTATGGATCCTGAACTTCCCAAACGCCAATGGTAGAGTCTTTGTTTTTGGTGAGGGGTTATCAATGGATTGGAAAATACATCTTTGTAGAAGTCTACATGTCCTTCACAGAGACCCAGCTGAATGTCAGTATTCCTTCTGATGACATTCTGAACCAGTCTTAGGGACTGACTGTGCTTACTATGTCAACCTTCACAGATGGGTCAGCAGAAAATCCAGGTTTACAATGCGGCCATGCAGACAATGGTCAATGTCATTGATAAATGTCCTTTGTCCAGATTGCATGGTGGTCTAGTGACTGAATTCAGGAGGGCTGCAAGGGGCTAGAGATAAGAGAAGTCTGATGCAGAAACATCATGTATTTGCTGCAGAAAATCCACCTAGAAAGCAGGGTGGTGAGGAAGGTCTGATGGTGAGACCTGTCACCAAGGATGGAAAACTTAAGACCCTCAGCTCAACTTCCCTGCTGAGGTCCTGTGCCGTAGTTGGTGTGAGGAAGTAAGCTTGTGGTCCAAGTTCATTACGTCAGGGTCCCCTTCCTGAGTTTTACTATGCACAGCAGATTGCATGTTTCCTTCCCTGGAGACTGTCACATTGTATGTGACACGAGGCTGAATTTTAACACATTTGTGTACAATGCAGAAACCTATAAAAATAAAACTTGGAGCCATGTAACTTGCACACTTCGTGTGCTCAATTATTTTTTTAAGTCCAACACTGAACAGTCAAATAAGAGTTTTAAAGACAGGTATTTCGGTTAGCAGTCTGGAAAGGCTGGGCACCAGCAAAGGGATGCAGCTGCCAGTAGTGCCTTGTGTCTATAGGGCTCCTAACAAGATCTGCTATGTATATTCTGGGAATTTTTAATATCTTCTTCCTTTCCCATTTGTAAATGTGTTACTAGCTAGTATTTTGTCCCCTTGAGTAGAATTTCCACGTCTTAATGATCTGTAAAGATTGAAGCAAACTGCTACAACTCTGGATTACATGTATTATTAGCACTGTGTTAATTATCTATTTGAAGCTGTAGGGGTGCCACACTTACATTCATTTGATTTTGTGTTCTTTCCTTTCAGATTAAAATACCTAAAGGTCTCATTACAATATTGGAGCAAGGTAAGGGTGACACTTCAGTGGGTTTTCCCATCCACCTTGCTTTGGGGGAAGGGGTGTAAATTGACTAACAGGCTCCCCTCGATGCTACTGCTGCTGCATGTCTGCTTGCCTTCCTGTACCTCAGCCTTGGCTGCCTCCTGCTCTCCTCCCCAAGGGCTTTGCCCACTCTCCTGCCCCTGCATGTCTGCACTGCCTGAAAAAAAAAAACAGCTTTGCCTGCCTTTCTTCTGTCTGTGCACTCTGGCAGAATCCCACACCAACACCTGCCATCCCGGAAAACGTCTTTGTCACCACTCTTTTGTGTGGAGGGCTGCAGGGAGCCATGGGCACGAGGGCTGTCCCCATTTTTGTTGCCCAAGGCAGGAGGAGTTGGATCTTGAGATGGACCGATAAGATGTGGCACGTGCTGTTCTGGCCTTTGACCGCTGGCCTTAATGGAAGCCTCCAAGGCCTCCATGTGGGAAAGGCATGTTGAGGGGGGGGGGTGATAAATGGAACAGCTGGGGGGAGGAGAAGCAGACAAAAGCTGGGGGAACATAGAGGGTGGAGAACCCAGGGATCAACAGTCTAGGACCTACAGGGCAATCTGGCTGTGGCAGGTGTGACCTTCTGACCTTGCCTTTCTGGTCTGGCATCTGAGCCCATCCCCAGAGCACTCTGATAGATGATTGAGTAAAAATCCTGCCCTGTATGGCCCAGGTTGTAGGAGCTCACAGGCTCGTAGGTAGAAAGAGAAGAATTGATAGTTCTTGTTTGGGGAGTAATGTCACCCAAAGAAGAAAGCAAATAAGTGAACTGTTGTTATTATTAGCCTAAGGTGGGATGTGAGGCACAGATGCCAGCCACTGTGTCTTAGGACAAACAAGAGTAGAACAATTAAGACAAACAATGTTAGAGTCTAGATTGGATGGCTTGTCCAGAACACAAAACTCATGCACCAGGCAGAGTTGTTAAACCTGCCAGTTGGATGAACAGCCAACATCTCAGCAAGCTGACCTCCTGGCCCAGCTGCCAGCATTATTCCAACCTGGGCTCACTTACATCAGCTCCCAGAGTTGACAAGGAACCTCAGAGCCATGTGCTCAGTCATCAGGATAGAGCACGATCACATCCATCCCTCCCAGCAGAGAGATTGGTGCAAAGGTTTCTTTCTGTTCCCCAGGACCCTCCTGGCCCTCTGTGTCTTCCTGCATCTGCCATAGCAGAGGTGAAGTGGGGTCCAAGTGCCCTCTGAATAGACCCCTAGCCTATATCACCAGGAAGAAGATAAGCCAGGGCAGCACTGCCAGCAGCTTGCAAGTGGAATTATCACATCAGGAAGGCAGCCCTCTTTTGTGGCCTGTCTGCTCGTTCTGCAGCTGCTGCCTCCCCATCCATCACTGGGCACTGAGGGCACATGGGAGCCATCACAAGATGAGGATGCAGCAGCAGGAAGTTGGAAACTAGAGGAATGCAAGGAACACAGTGGCACTGGCCCTAGGCCCACTTCTGGTGTGGCTTTGCCCTCTGCCCCGGCCAGTGGGGTCTGTACTTTCCAGTGTGCAGGGTCTTCACTGCAGAGTTTCATGCTGCTGGTTCAGGTTCATTCACTAGGACAGTGAGCATTATTCTGACCACATGTGCCACTATAGGAGTTGAAGGGATGGCCTTCCTTTCATTTCTTGTCCTCTGGAGGTGGGGAAGGGGGTGGGAACTGGCCTGAAATTTTGGCCTTCTGAGCTAGGATTATCTTTGATCATCACTAATATCTCATTGATTTGCATTGTGTGCATGCCTGCATGAGAGTGTGTATATGTCTGTATGTATGTGTGTTTACACCAGTGCTGGAGCTTGAACTCAGGGCCAGGGCACTGTCCTTGAGCTTTTGTACTCAAAGCTAACACTCTCACTTAGGCCACAGCTCTACTTCTGGCTTTTAGGTGGTTAATTGGAGATAAGAGTCTCACAATCTTTCCTACCTGGCTTCAAACCATAATCCTCATATCTCAGCCTTTTGAGTAGCTAGATTTGTTTATAGACATGAGCCACCAGTGCCTGGCTTGACTTGCATTTCTTGTTTTATTTTCTTAACCCAGTTGATCTGATTACAGAGGGAGGTGGCATTTCTCTGCTGCTCTTCACCCATGGATTTTATACTTGTGCTCATCCCTAGTGACAAGGGAGTGGAGAGATACCTTTAAACAGCATGTCTTTATTGTAGATAACAGTGTAGCTATGCTGGCTTTATCCAAAGCTTCCTGGATTGGTTTTTTTTGGTGCTGGGGATAAAACCCCAGAGCCTCACACATATTAGGCAAGCATTCTATTCCTAAACTGTATGCTTAGCCCTAGCAGCATGATTTTACAGAGGAAAACCATGGGACAAGGCCCAGGAGGACTGCTCTGTTGGCTGACCTCACAGAGCTGAAAAAAAAAGAGAGGCAAAGGTAGAGGCCCTACTCTGGAGTCTGAAAGTACAGACTTCATAGTACATGGGCAGGTCTCTTCTACAGGTCCATGCATGTTTAGAGTATTGATTTCTGGAGCTCTTCCCAAGAAACCATGAGGCAAGCTTAGAGGCTAGCTGTCTGTGAATGGGATAACTGTCAATCTCAACCATCATTTTAAAGACCAAATCCCTGGAAGTAAAGTCTGAAGGAGGAGGAGGAGGAGGATCTAAAATTCATGCTCTTGAGGGTTGTTCTAGCTGAGGTCACACCAGGGAACTCAGGCTGTATAATACAACAGGATTTAAAAATATCTCACTAGGGGAAAGGTGATGAAATGATCCTCTCATTCGCAGAATAGTCCCAGGGGAAAGCAAACTGCTGGCAACAGTGGCTGTGTATTGCAGCAGACATTCTTGTATTCCTCTGAGCTCCTGGGAGCCACCCCCGGGGAAGGGGGTAGGTACAGATCCACACCTTTTAATTGTATTCCTTTTCCCTCTAGTACTGAATAACTGTATGCTCATCTGGACTCATTCAGACAAGCAATTTAGGCCTGACCTCTAGTCTTTGGCCCTTTGGGGAATAATTGAGTAGTAACTCTCTGTGTAAAATATCAATATGTAAGCACGTGGAGATTCCAGCAACACTGACAGAGCTTCACAAGCTGAAGTTGAAGTTTCACTGGCCTTTTCATCAACTCTGAGTCCTCGTGGCTCTCTATCCCTTTTGCTCTAACCGGATGCCTCTTCTCTTCATTTTTTACTTCTGGATTGTCCACAACCTGAGTTTATTTCAAAAAGATGGTAGCCTCTTAGGTGATACATAAAAGCCCAAGCCAATGACTAGGCAGGAAAGACTTTCACTTGTCGATTTGTTCAACAAACATCTTTGCAAACACACTTGGAAGAGTGGAAGACATCAAACCCTCATGCTGAAGACCAAGTTCCCTTAAATCTATGTCTTCAGAGCCCCAGTAGATTCCATGACTTGGCCATTCTTTGCTTCCTTTGCAGGACTTGGCCTCCAGGCTAAGTGTGGACTTCAAGAAGCCGGTCAGTATGGAACAGACAACGAGGATCCCCACCCTTCAGCCCCCAGTCCCAGAGACCACAGGAAGCCCTGTGGCTGTGCCAGTGCCCATAGCAAGCCTCCACAATACTGGGCCTCCGAAGTCAGAGGTGAATGACGCGCTGTCTAGTCTTGAGAACACTCAACCTTGAGCCTCCAAAGAAGAAAAAAATCATCAACAACCAGAGACAGAGCCCTTGGAGACTGCTCACCCCAGAATACACTGGCCTGGCTGCTCCAGATAGATCCCAGCAGGAAAGAAGGGAGGGTACAGAGGACAGTTACTCTCTGCACCCTAAAACGTTTCCCCCTATTTATAAGCCCAAGTATGATTTCTAGAGGGCTGACAAAATAACTGTTTGATTGCGCCTGGAATTTCTTCTGTGTTGATTTTGCTAGTTCTATTTATGTGAAAATTTATAGTTTACTCAAAAATTTCATCATCCTAAAAATTGATTCACCCAAGGGTCTTTTGCCCAGGAGTTTTACCTCAGTATTGAGTCTTTTTCCACCTGGTGCTTGATACACACTAACTGAAGAGGTTCTCCTCACCACCCAAACAAATAGGAGCATCACAGTGATGCTCCTATTCCAGAACACTCAAAAGTCTCTAGAAAGAAAGGGTCATGTTCTTTTGAGAATTCCTGTAGGACAAGAAGCATCCCTAAGTTCAGCCCAGCCCAGAATCAATACAAAGCAACTACCAGCTCCACATGCCAACTGGATGGTCATCCAGTAATATACAAATCCTCACTTCTCTCCTGCCTGCTGCTCAGACAGGGCCAAGACAGACCTTAGAAACGATTCTTGCCACACTGAGTTTTAGAGTAATACATTCCAAACAAGGGTGATTTTATCTGCATCTGTTGTCCAATTGTCTCCAAGGTATGCTAGGCCTGTTTAACAAGAAAAGAAAGGAAGGAAGAAGAAGGAACAATGAAAAGTCCTGCCTCTGGGCTTCCCATCTCCCTGGAGGGGTACCTGTAGGTGGACCCTGCCATCCAGTACCAGAGAAATTGGTTCACAGGAAGACCTGTGTGGCTCACCCTCTGCCACTTTCCAGGTTCTGAAGTGGTCTCAGAGCCTGAGGCTTACTCCACTCCCCACTCTGCCTTAGAAAGAAAGCCAAGAAGCACATCAGAGGCCAGTCCTGGCTGCTTATATGAGATCATGTCACAGTGCCCCCTCCCCCATCATAACATAGCTATAGGTGGGGCCCAGGCTTCAGAAGGCAGGCCCTGTGTATAGATACACCTGCCTACCTGTCTGCCTTCCTCTGCCCTCTGGTTTTCTGTACACTTACATGTTCCCTCAGCCTACTTGGTTACCTACAGCCTAAAGAGGCTCACCCCCATCAAAACAGCTGTTTCCTTGGAGGAGCCGGCTTTCCCCGTCAACCATTGAGTTAATTTGGCTGGTCTTGACTTTCCTGGGAAAAGTGGACAAATCCAGGAGCCAGACTCAGTCTTGGACAAATGATAAAGAATTGGAACATCATTCCCATCAGAAAAATGGACCTTCCAGGTGTAGGGAAAACCTGTCTGCTTTAAAGGTGATTTACAGGGCATTGCGGGCAGATTTGAACCCCAGGCCCACCAACCAGAGCACCAGGATTGCTGTCTGAAGGCATGAGAACAGGAACAAGGGGCATTCCAGAGTAGAAGCTTTAATCGCCGTGGGCTGTTTACTAGGGGCCGTTACGTTCATTTATTGGGGGCTTCACAGCAATAGAAAGGATGACAAGAAGTCATGGTGTTTCTCCTAGAGTCAGCGAATGCTTTGATTTTTATTCTCACTCCTCCACCCCCTGCCCTTTCATGTGTTTGTTAGTGGTTTGAACTCTGGCCAGTGTGATTGGCCCGTATTCATCAGACTTATGAGTGTTGTTGCTTTGCTTTGTTTCATGCTTACACAGTACCCAGACCTTTTTTTTCTATGTAGAAACATATCACCTGTCCCTGGGCTTCAGAGCTCTCTGTAACCCTTTAACAACAAGGATCTTCTGGGAGAAGATTTTATATTCAGGCTGTAGAAATCTCTGTTGCAGAATTCTTGGTTGCATAAAAGGGAAATATAAGGAATGGGGAGACTCTTTAATTTTTGTTTTTTGTGTTCTGTGGCACTGGGAATGGATGAAAAGCCTGGGCCTCCTGCATGTGAGGCAAATGCTTTTCCACTGAGCCATGCCCCAGCCCTTGGAAGCCATGTTTAACTTCCTGAACTTCTCCACAATTTCATTTTGCCTCCATGAGACAGCGCTCCTAACCTTCAAGTGGGAAATTCAATTGTAAGTAACAAATATCTCAACCTTCATGTAATCCCTAATGATTTTAACAACCCTATTCCTGCCCCCCCACCACCACCTCATGACAGCCAGCAGTTTCGTGATTTAGAGGGGGAAGCAAGGGATCTGACAACCATGTTTACTTGCAGTCACACAGCCGTTCTTGTTATTTGGGGTGGAAAATTGATCGTATTTTTTTTCTCTTTCCAGTTAGCAAACTAAATGTTGTGTTCTTTGTAATAAATGCCTTTTAGCAGTATTGCTAAGGTCACTCATGTGGTAGAGACCCTCCTGAGCCACAGTGCACGTTAATACTAGTGGGCCAACCATGTGTAAAGAAAGGTGGCTCTAATTGGCCCAAAGTGTGCCTGCCTGTCCCCCTCCCCCCACCCTCACCCCCTGAGCCTGGCCAGTTCCCTCACTTCACTACATGCTGAATTCCAGATTTCCATGTAGAACAAAGCTGATGTCTATAGCCTCATTGATTAGACCTTTTTGTACTTCAAAAAAAATTAAAAAAAAAAAGAATCGGGCACTGGTGGCTCACTCCTATAATCCTAGCTACTCAGGAGGCTGAGATCTGAGGATCATGGTTTGAAGCCAGCCAGATGCTTATCTCCAATAAACTACTCCAAAAAAAAAAAAAAGCCAAAAGTGGTGCTGTGGCTCAAGTGGTAGGGCACTAGTCTTGAGCACAAAGAGGCTCAGAGACAGGCCCAGGCCCTGAGTTCAAGCCCCAGGATAGGCAGAAAAAAAAAGAAAAAGATAGTAATCCCACAAAATTATAACTTTGAAGGTAGCTAGACCTTCTTCAGAGAGAGGGAAAGAAATTTAGCTCAGTCCGGTGACTGTCACAAGTGTCTTCAGTAGCCAACTCTGCAGCACTTAAGAGCACAGTGATTGGAGGACCCTTGACTTTATGGTATGGGTTGACTGATCAAACCCTGAGCCTTACAAATGAGATCATAGAGATCCAGAGAGCCATGCAAATCCCGTCTTCCTGATCTTCCTCAGGTGTCATTACCTGCACGACTCTGACCTGTTATGTGGAGGTTTGTTGAATTATACAAAACTTACTGTGATGTCTTTTGTGTCAGTGTGTTACTTTGTATCTACTGAAGGGAAATATCTGTACCTGAAGAGAAATTCAACATGAAACAACCATCCTTGTAATTGAGTTGCACTCAGTATGTATGACATATGCATTCAAGTCTACAATGTTTAGTACATGTAAATAGGAGAAAATTTGATAAATGTAGTAAATTAAGTTATAGTGTCATTTGAATCTTGGTTTGCTGCCTCTTGTTATTTAATTTTCCTGATACCACACATCTAAGGTTTGTTCTAAGGTAGGCAAGATCTCCGTGTCTAACCTGCCTTTGTGGGAGTATGTACGCTTGCGTGCCAGGACATACCCCACCATGGCAGCCACTCCAGGAAAGCACATGGCTCCTTTGATGATACCACTCCATCTCCAGTTCACCCATTTGTCCCTTTTATTTTGATTTACTGTGATGATTTACTGAAGTGTAGACACAGCACTTAGATGCTTACTTTGTAGGAAAATAAAATCTGTCCTGGTATCTAATAAGATAGTATTTGCATTTTTATTGTATAAAGTTATTCAAAAAAATTTTAACCAAATCTTAAATCCATGTCCAAAATAATAGTTGGGACAAGTCCAGGGAAAATTTTTATACATGCGTATGTAAAATTAATCTTGTCATTCATAACATAGAATGCTAAGAGCCAGCCACCAGAAGATCTGCATGGAAGAATCATCACCCTCAGCTACTTAATCCGTCTGATGAAGATTAGGTCAGTACCAACCACTACTGCAGTTGGCATCAAGTCTCACAGAGAACTTTGTCCCTTGCTCCTTCTCTCCAGGGCAGCACCCTGTACTAGCCACCCTTCTGATGATCTGAATCCCTGGCATTTCTGGGCAAGAGCATTTGAGGGCTTCTCTTTGTGAATAGCTGGAGACAAGATAAAATATGGCCTGTTGCTGGTGTGGCTGAAACCAGGTTGATGGTCCTGCCTTAGGACTCCCAATCATCACACTGCAGCTAGGCCAGGGGCCTCTGCTGGTATCCTGGCTGGGCCTCTGAACAGCAGTGAACTCTTACAACATTGGATCCCAAGGTGTGTGCCTGTGTGTGTGTGTGTGTGTGTGTGTGTGTGTGTGTGTGTGTGTGTGATTTGTACCTTTAGCAAGAACTTGTTGACTGTCAATTACTTGCAGAGCCTATCAGTGGCCTCAAGAGGGTCATGTTGGGTATATGCCCAGGAGTCAAATGGAACCTGAGTCAATTGAGCTTCTTTTTAGTTTTTTTTTTTTAATTGATAGCAAGGGCTTGCATGCAAGTATGTCCTACTTTTAATACTTAGTTCCTCGAAAAAGGAAGCTCAGTGTAAGCCTGTAAAACTCTGTGACTCAGAAGCAGTGTTTCCTAACCTGTGCAAAGGTTTCATTTGGAATCTTCTCATGTAAGACCATGATTCTTACCCCGTTCCCCAACCTGATTCAGACACACCTGAGAAGAACCACAGCATCTCCATTCCATAAAGCTGCCCAAAGCTGACTACAAGGGAAGGGGAGGTGGGTTAGTAAGCCTGAGTCAGCCCCATTGGTGATGTTCTGGTCAGCACTCAACCCTCCTTCCCCCACCGTCACCATGTGTGCCACAGGGTCATCTGAAAGGTGGCTGGTTGCACCATACCTGCTTCTTGGGGCAGTGCTCCCGCATCTCATTAACAATTTGACTTAGTAGAAAGCCCTCCAGGATTCCTGCCTGGAAGCTTCTCTTGGATATTTTTGGAATACTTTTCAGGTCTAGGAATGGGCACATGAGATTCAAAGGATATTTTTACGAACGTCTCATAAAGAAGGGTATTTTTGCTAGGCACCAGTGGCTCACACCTATAATCCTAGCTACTCAGAAGCTGCAATCTGAGGATCATGGTTGGAAGCTAGCCTGGACAAGAAAATCTGTGAGATTCTTATCTCTAATGAAGCACCAAACAGCCAAAAGTGGAGCTGTGGCTGAAGTGGTAGAGTGTTTGCCTTGAGCAAAAAAGCTCATGGACAGTGCCCAAGGCATGAGGTCAAGACCCAGACCCAGAAGTGGCATAAAAAAAAAAGAGCCAGGCACCGGTGACTCATGCCTGCAATCCTACCTACTCAGGAGGGCTTAGCTCTGAGGATCACGGTTCAAAGCCAGCTTGGGCAGGAAAGTCCATGAGACTCCTATCTCCAGTAAATCACTAGAAAACCGAAAGTGGCGCAGTGTTTGGCTTGAGCTGGAGAGCACATGGACAGTGTCCAGGCCCAGAGTTCAAACCCCACAAAGAGAGAGATAGACAGAGACAGAGAAGAGAAGGAGGAAGAAGAAGAAATGAGGAGGCAGAGAAGAATTTTAGAGGAAAGGTGAAAAGGGGAATATTCCAGGCCATTGTGATTCCTGTAAGTAATCAGAACATTTTCAAAAACACAAATCTCAGGCCATATCATGGAAGACCTTTAATAGAATTCCAAAATGAGTCCAACTTCCAGTGTTGAGTATTGTTATCATAGGTCTTTCTTAGATTTTGCCATGTGCCAAGGAATTTAAAGAAAATGCTTAAGGTACATACCAGCCATAATATAACATCATCTTAAGATTCCAGGGAAAACAGCCCAGTTATTATGTTTCCTGTGATAATGACAGACATTTATATTTATCATATCTATACACATTTGTCCTAGTGTGGTGGTACTGTGTATATACAAACTAAATTGAGGCCACTTTGGTTTATTAAACCATTTATGTCATGGAGCACTATTATCATTTGCTCTTTCTGCTATAAATGGACATGGTTTTAATTCCATTTCATTTTCCAACCAAAAAATATGAAGATTGCAGAAATGGGATACAAAGTAAACATCACACTTGCTTACTTGGTTTATTCAAGGCACAGGTCTGTAGCTGGCAAAGTCAGCCCCATCCTCCAGACATTTACAGCCACAAACACCTAGGCCTGAAGGAGGGAGTGGGAGAGAGGTTGAAAGATAATGTCAAAATTTCTGCAAAGTTGAGAAACTAGGAAGTCCCCGATAGCATCCTCTCTTTTGTAATTTGTCAGACATTAAAAGCACTGATCAGACTTTTTAAAATATTCACATCAAAATATACTGCCTTTGGTATCAGACCGTATGATGTATGTGATTGCAAACTCTACTCGAAACAGTCTTTTTTAGGAAAAGAATAATAAGTAAATGACCTCTGGAATAAGTACTATTTCCTCTGTGTCCAGGTGTAATTTTTAGTCTTCCATTGATGTGTCCCTTTTCTCCCTCTCTCAAATGCTTATTGAGTTAGACAGAATATTTAATATGAATAGGTCCTACTCTCCTTGACACAGGGTGCTAGGGGTCTGAAAATTGGAGTGTGCTTTTCACTGAGGGTGTGAAGTGGGAAGGGACTTTGCTATTACAGAACCTGAAAGGATCTTTTTGACTTCAGAAAATAGCCTGGCCAAGAAAAGCTTTTTTCCATGAATACTCAGAACTGCATTATGCCCCTTGGATGACAGAGGTGAGTACTTGTGATCAATATTCCCTAAGAAGAAGCCTCTGAGCTAAGCGAAAGCTGAGGTAATACATCTCCCTCCTCTGAACCTGCCAATCTTGGGCAGCGCAGCCTCTCCAACAGTTTGAAGCAGCAAAGGCCACATGTTTGTGTCATCATTGGCTTCTTTAAAAAAACTGTACCCAGCCAGGTGCCTGTGGCTCACGCCTATAATCCTAGCTATTCAGGAGGCTGAGATCTGAGGATCACAGTTCAAAGCCAGCCCGGGCAGGAAAGTCCATGAGACTATTATCTCCAATAAACCACCAGAAAACATGAAGTGGTGCTGTGGCTCAAGTGGTAGAGCGCTAGCCTTGAGCTGAAGAGGGTGAGGGACAGCGCCCAGGCCCAGCGTTCAAGCCCCACGATTGACAAAAAAAAAAAACCTGTACCCCACATGGTCCCTTCTCTGGCATCAGTGTCTCCTACAGCCTTCCTTCTGGGAAATATTGGTATCTTCATGAACTTTCCTTCCCAGGCTGGCTTTGAACTAGGATCCTTAAATCTCAGCCTACTGAGTAAGTAGGATTATAGTTGTCAACCACCAGCGCCTGGCAATGGGGACTGTTTTGACCCCCTGAAAGTAGAACTAGAAGCTAGGAGAAAAAGAAAAACAACTTGAAACAGATTTTTTCTTGATTACAGGAGATGTATTTTCTAACCCGTATTAAGATTTTGATAAGAGAACCAAGTTATAAATGTGTGTGGTATAATAGATTATATTTTAAATATTTTATTGTTACTATTAATGTGTTGTACAAATGGACTACCACTTCCTAAGCCAGGTAATGAGTACATTTCTTTTTTTTTTCTTTTCTTTTTTTGGGGATACAATGTCATCTCTTCCTTTACATCTCCTGCCCTTGCCCACAAGTTACATAGTTCATTTTCCACAGTGTATACTAAATACCATGATTAGATTTGTTTACCCATCCTTTCTTCCTTTCTGCTC